AAGAGTGTGAAGATGCTGGCTGGAGAAAATATACTGGAAGTGTGGGAAGATCCTGCAGGTCAGAGATGTGCAGAGGCAAATGCTGGAGATGCCCAGAGGCCTTGCTCAATTATGCCTGAGACTGGTAACTGGGAGTGGCTGCACAGCACGAGCCAACATGACTTTCTGCCCTACCTTCCCAGGGCAGCCATCATCTCCCTGCTGGGAAGGGAAGCCAAGACTGAGGGAACATAGCACCAGGCTGAGGCAAAGTAAGTGAGTGTGCAAGATAACCAAGTAGGGTAATCTAATCTTGTTAGTTCTTAGATAAACCCTGGTATCCACATCCACTACCCCATGGACAAGGACTCGTCAGAAACATTGGCCTGCTCAAGTAATTAAAAGAACAGAAGAAGGGCAGCCACAAACGACAGCAATAAGCCAGAGTGATTTCTCCTAACAGGTTGTCTATGTCCTTAGTGCTATAACAAGTCCCAGGGAGCACAATCCTGCCAGCCAAGGGCACGATGAAGCCCATATAACCCACTTACTTGGCATCTTCCAGCTCCTCAGTTCTCTGAATGGCATCAGTTTCGTACTTTGTCCTCCACTGTGCCACTTCTGCGTTTCCCTTGGAGAGAGCCCGCTGCAGCTCTGCCTTGGCCTCTTGTTCCTCCTCATACTGCTCCCGCAAGAGATCACAGTCATGCCTGGCTGCTTGCAGGGCATGAGCCAGGGCGTTTTTGGACTGCAGGGGTAGAAAAGTCACAGCATTGCATTTACAGCAAAACCCAAACAAACAGCTCCTAAAAATTCAAATGGAGTCTTAAGCCCTTTTTTGTTTTTGCCTCTGATCTTGACAGTCCAGGTCAAATGAGGTAAGAAGTGTTTGAAGTCATCCCTAACTGGTGTCATGCTGAGGAAGCTATCAAGACTGAAGATAATCTAACACCTTTGAAAAAAGCATCCAAAATTTTAAGATCAAGATCTGAGATCTTGGCTATCCTACTGGGTAAGTTTTATTTAACAATTATGGATGCTGATTATTTTCCCAAACTCTTCTCCTGTGACTTGCCGCAGTCAGGTGCAGGAACTTATAACAGTACAATTACCAGGAAGCATTCTCATTCCTGTGTCTCACTTCAGCTTTTATCAAGGCTACAAATGAACATGAACAGTTTTCCCCATTCCATCTGAGTGACTAAGACAGTCAAAGCATTACCTTGGTTTCCTCTTCTAGCTGTCTCCTAAGTTCTTCAATCTGTTGTGTAAACGAGGTTTTCCCCCTAGACAGCTGACTTATCAGTGACTCTTTCTCTTCAAGTTGTCTTATAAATTCACCTGCCACAGGATTTAACAAAAAAAGTTAAAAAAGGTAAGATGATGATATGACAAAGTACCAGCCAAAATCAAAGTCCCACCTCTTCAATTCTGCTGAGGAAAAAAACTAACAGTGATTGTGGCTGAACTTTTGTGAAGCTTCTTCCAAAGCTGTCCTGGCACTGACATTTCACCTGGATAATTTTCCTTAGGTTTTTTTGTTTGTTTGTTTGTGGTTTTGGTTAGGTTCTTTTTATGTTTTTGCTTTGTTCTGTGGGGGGGGGTTTTGTTTGTTTTTGTTTTATATTTGTTTTGTTGTTGTTGTTGTTGTTGTTAATCCTAATACCTTTATTTGTTAATTAGAGTTCAACTTGTGGATCAGACTAGACTGATGCTTACTTTCTCATGCAGTTGTAGCTGCTTTTGTTTATACTTTTCTTCACTATTCTACATTGCTTTCGCATATGACTTTTTAGAGGGCTGCAAGACACCCTGAGAACCTCAGAACAACCAGTGTACAGAACAGAGGCAAATATAAGGAAAACTTCATTTATCACAAGTAGGGTGTCACTGCGAGGTGGAAACTGCAGCTTTATATGAGTACATAGAACTAACAAGAAAACACATAGGAAATGAAAAATATTTGAAAATACACAGAACAGTGATATCTGATGAGGATGCAGAGATTAAATAGTATTACTGTGGCTAAATAGGTATCAAGCACTTAGAGGATATGTGGTATTTTTAGTCAGATATGAGGGCTTTCTAGAGTGCAATGCCCAAGGTTACGCTGAGGAAGATGGTATTCACAGAGAGCAGCAGTATGTCGGCTCCCTCATCTTCCCTCTAGCATTGCAAGATAGATGTACATGTCCTGGCTTCTGAAACTGGATACCTAGCCAGCACATCCATTTCAGCTCATCAGATGGTATCACAGTATGCTAGTAAATATGGTTATAAATTTGTTTTAAAAGCCAGTCCAAGGCAAGGTTCCCCAACCAAGGTTATAAAAATATCGAAGATAGGAATGTCAAAAGACACAAAGCTACTGCTCCATTCAGCAGTCCTAATCCAGCCCCCTTCAGAGCAGATGCCATGCACAGTGTGCCTCATCGATGCAGTGCTGAGACACACCTGCTAAATTACTGAGAAACAGTCTATCTGGGCTGAACATGCACGTACCATTTTCACTCTGGAGTTTTGTCTTCTGAGTTGTGAGGTCATTCATGAGGCGAGTCATTTCCTCCAGCTTTGTTTTTGTCTCATTCAGATGGTCTTCATAAGTGCGACAAAGTTTCTCTGCATTTGCCTGACAGGAATCAGGAGAGAAGACAAATAAAGCTATACTCTTGATGCAGCCATTTGGAAGCTGTAGCCTACATGATCCTTTTTTGTTTGTTTGTCTTTCAGAGAAATGACAGATAGCAAAGACACAAATACCACAGCAGAAAAGGGGCAATAGTAGCCCTGTATCTACTGTCCCAAGCCAAGGTTTTCCCCATCAGACCACCTTCCCCATTTGTTTTCCCAAAACTGCATGGAAGCACCAGCGTAAAAAGACTGCAAGAATTTCAAAAGCAATCACATGCCTATAAAGTACAAGCATAGCCTCCTCATAATTGCTAGATGGGAAAATCAGCTCCAATGAAAATTGCTTTACTGATTCTGCTTTAATTGCCACTTATCATAAATTGACTTTGATGATAGCTTTCTAACTCTTGGAATACTGAGATTTCTTTTCTTCACTTGCACTGAAAGAACTCTTTAGAGTGTTCTGAAAACTACTGAGACTATCTATTCAGGAAACAAAATCCACAATTCAGCCATAGGAAGTAAAAAAATACATGGTGGTCATGCAAGTCTTTGCTTTGCACTTCTTGCTAATGTGGGGCAAAACTGTGAACCAGGGGCAGGATCTCAGAGGCCTCTGCTTAGGATGGGAGATATCCATCCCTGGATGGCATCGCCCCAGTCATCACCAGCCTGGGCAAGCAGAATTTCAGCAACACAGTTTTGTGCTCCAAGACATATGGATAAGCAATATGGCTGAGACTGGGGATGCAGTGTGTGTTTTAGACAGGCCATCTTAATGGCTGTCCCATCTCCAGATAAGAAGGGTTATACTGCCAGCTGGGGAAGGGTGACACTGTGCGCATAAGCTCAGATTGCAAGACACCACCTTCTAAAATACTCCATTCCTACCAGGTGTCCTGGGAAACCTTCAGACCAACCTTAACTATACATGACCATTGGGGGTTTGCGTGGCCTCAGGACCCTTACTTTTCCCTTGACCATCTGCTCCATGTTGGATGACAGATCATCCACTTCCATCTTCAGCTCGCTTTTCTCCTTTTCCAGTTTCTGCTTGACCCGCTGCAGGTTGTCCAGTTGCTCTCCCATCTCAGCCACACTGTCCGCATGTTTCTTCCTCAGGGTGGCGGCTGTGGCTTCATAGTGCAGTGTGGCCTCCTCAAGGTCCCGCCGCAGCTTCAAGAACTCTGCCTCACGTTTTTTGTTCATCTCCAGCTGGGCAGCTGTGGCTCCCCCAGCCTCCTCAAGTCGCTCACTTAATTCCTCCAGCTCTCGGGCCAAATCTGATCTCTGCTTTTCCACCTTGGCTCGAGCAGCCCTTTCTGCTTCCAACTCCTCTTCTAGTTCTTCTATACGAGCCTGTCAAAGAGATGAGAGCACCTTCAGGTCACCTTCATGATGATTGCCATCAGAAGACTATGAAGCACCTTACAAATTGTTAAGCCCTTTGCCAGCCCACACTTCAGAACAACAGTTAAAAGACTTGCCCATTTGTGCCAGTAAATCAGATCTTGAGCTACAGTAAGGATGGTGAGTCACACCTTTCTCACAGTAGATTGCTCTACAAGCTCTAGTTCAAGACATTTAGGTCAAGTGCATTGACCTTATACTCCTGTTACTTGACTTTCAGCTGAAGTACATGAGAGAAGTTACTTGATAATAGGAATGGCAGCAACAAACTGCCATGGGAAGGGAATCTTTGTTCCCATTTTACAAGCTCTGTGACTGAAGTAACTTCTCTCTAGAGCTGTTAAGACAAGATTTCAAATATAACAGTGTGTAGAATTGCATAAATAATGAATATTCAGTGGGAACAGTCTTTTATGAAATGGTTATTTTGACCAACCTATGCTTCACATCCAAGTTATGCAAATGTTCTATACTTACAAAAAGGCAGAGCTGATACTTCATGTCAAGGCATTTTGTTTGGACTCTGCTGGCTTTCTTTGACCTTTTCATTTCTGTTGAAAATTTCCTGTGCATTTGAGCCCTTCCCCTAAATTTCAAATACGTGCTTATCACTGCTGTGCTCCTCCTCAGCATCCACCCTCAGGTCCACGGTTTGAAACAATATCATTTGTTTAGAATAAAACACCAAAGCCCTTCTGCCTTTTCTGAAACCACTAGCATTTTGTGGTCATATGTCCTACAACTAGGAAGGAACCACTGTAGAGCAAGCATCCTGAGGTGAAAAGGGATCAGTCTGGTTAGCTACGGAGTCGCACTACTTTGGGTCTCAAAGTCAAGCTGCAGCTAGCCATGAGACGTCTCTGCAAAGCCCTTTGGTGAGGCACAAGGAGAAACTTATCCTAAGATATATGAGAAAGAAGCAAGCTGACCTGAAGCTCCTTGATTTTCTTCTGCAGCTGCATCACTATAGCTTGTTCATCTTCTATCTTAGAATTCAGCTGGCTCATTTCAAATTCTTTCCTGCCATGGAAAGGAAAATCCTTCTGTGACAACTTTTCCTGTAGCTTCAAGTTAGGCTTTTGTACTGTTCAATAAAACTTATAACTAAACATGAAAGCAATCCTCATGTATTGCTATTTGCATGAAACACATCTTCTGAGCAGCAGTTTCCAAGTCAAGACTCTGCATGCATTTGTGCAACTATATTTCTGGTTCTTTGTGTCATACAAAAGTAACATTATTTTCAGACTCAATGGAAAAATATATTTAACAGAGTCAGGTCTTTCAACAATACTGTCATAGCTAGTTATGGTGAACAAATTTTTAGAGCCTTACTTCAGCTTTCTCTTCTAAGCAATGAAAAACACAAAAACTTTTTTTTTTAAATGCTGGAAAGAGTAATGAATTCTAATGTTTCAGGTATACTGTGCACAAGTAAGAGTGATTTTCCCTCCCTCCTTGGCTACACACTCTCTCCTCATGAAATTTCCTTTTTTCACCATCAGAGCAGGATGACACACCTGAAGGCTCTGAAATGACAGTGGTAACAGTGCTGCTTTATTTTATACAACAGAATCAGACTCTTACTTTTTTAGCTTTTCTTCCATCTGGAGCTTATCATTCTCCAAGTCCATGACACTCTCTTGGGTCAACTTCAAATCCCCTTCCAGTTTGCGTTTTGCCCTTTCTAGATCCATCCTCACTTTCTTCTCTTGTTCAAGTGAGCCCTCAAGCTTTAGGAACAAAGTTACTTATGAAATACATTGGACACAGATGGTTTACAACAGTCTGATGTATGCTAAGCCCAGCTTTGTGCTGAGCTCTAGCAAGTGGTGAAGCAGAAGTACTTAAGTACAAGCATCCCTATTTACATTTTTTTGATTTCCAGCAGCCAGTGGGCACATGGGCTAAAGAAATACAACATAAGGTTAGTCCATACTTTACATTTGTGCAAGGATTACAGTTCTCAGTAGCAAAGTTCTGTTTGATTTCATGCCAGTTACACTGCAAATGCAAACTGATTTTCCCTTGTTATCGAACTCCTTTCAAAGGCTCAACTACACAGATATGTTTTTATAGTGTTCCTGTAATTATACCTTTTACTGGCAGTACAAGCACTGCATTTCTAAATCCTCGATAATTTTTAAAAGGAAAGGAATACACTTCAAAGCTTTGCAATATTTAGTGAAAACCGTAAGTGGTGGACAAACAAGCCTGGGGAAACATGGAGGCAGAACCAGCTTACATCATCCACTTGCTGTTCCAGTTTCACTTTAGCTTTGCTCAGTGTGTTAACTTTGTCCTCCTCTGCTTGTAGGTCATCCAAAACTTGCTGATGAGCTTCCTGCAAGGACTTTTTCTCCTTAGTAAGTTTGCTGATATTCTCATCAAGAGCCGCCATTTCTTCCGTCAGATTTTTGACCTGTGTGAGAAAGGAAGATGTGTTTGTAAGAATTCGAAGGAAGGGATTATCATAACCTGGCTCAGATAACTGTCTGTACTGAACTTTTATGCAAGAAGATGATGGGAAGAAAGGGATATCTTCCCCAACAGCCCCCTGTTACTTTTTGAGTGAAATTGCCCTTGAGGGAGCCAACGTGTGCCAGTTCTTCTTGTGGGTTTAATAAAGTCTTTCAAATGTACTATAATCTTTTCAGGGTCATTCTCATTGTGGTGGACCCCAGCTTCTGATTCTTTCTGGGAGAAGTAGGAGATGACTTTTACATTTACAGGCTCTTAGAAGAGCTGAAAGAACTCATGGTTACAGCAGAAAACTGTTTACTTAAAAATGCCAAGACTATACATAATTCTTTAGCTGAATTGCAGCAGAACTTACTTCATAAAAAGGGAAACAGCCTCAGAGTTAACACCTTTTCCCTTATGAGGTCAAATAACTCTGTATATATATGGATCCTCCAGTGTGGCCTGTCTAACAGACAGTGTAAAACCATGAGAAGACCAGTAGCTCTTGTTATAAAAGTAATCCATGCCTAACCTCATTTGAATATATGATAAAGCTCTAAAAGTACCTTGTTTTCAGTAGCATGCTTCTCTTTCTCTACTTTTGCAAGTGTTATTTCAAGATCATCAATATCCTTCTTGAGCTCAGAGCACTCATCTTCCAATTTTCTCTTCTTAGAAGTCAGCTCAGAATTCATCTCTTCCTCATCCTCAACCCGCTCTGTCAGTTCTTTGACTTTGGCCTCCAACTGAATCTTGGATTTAATCAACAAGTCACATCGTTCCTCGGCATCTGCCAGAGTGTCTTGCTCCTAGTGTTGCATAAAGAAGAGGACAGCAATGACTGCCTGGCCTTTTTGATTCTTCACTTCTCCCCCCCTATCCTGTACATGGTCAGAGAGCCTGATCTGAAGCTACAGAACCATGTAAGGAAAAATTCCTACTCCTGATTTCAGAAGACAAGACTGACAAGTAATTAATGTAGCAGGATAAGACAGTGGTGACCATGACTAGTCATACATAAGACTACTTCCAAATCTAACTGCCATGGACATTGCCTTGGACAGAACCTGTTAAGATTTGCATTGCTAGCTGACCTGATTATATGCTAGAACATGATAATTTCTATCTGCTTTGATTTTGGCAAGACTGACAAGATGAACAGCTTACTTTAACTGAATTGCACTAACACTAGTCTGTAAGCCTTTGAGTTTCAAAGAACATCTAACAAATATATGAATATATGTGTCTACTCACAGCTTGGAGCTGGAGAAGCAAATCATTTTTTTCCTGAACTAAAGAGACTTGCTTTTCTTCAAGTTCTTTTCTCCTGGCTTCAGATTTTTCCAGGGCCTCCTTCAGTTTCAAGAACTCTTCCTTCATATTGGCCATCTCCTTTTCAGTTTCTGCAGACTTCAGAAGAGGTTTGATCTTGAAGAAAAGCTTCATCCAGGGCCAGTTCTTCACAGCCATAAAGGCGCGGATGTTCCACTGAATTACAAGAAGGGCATCCCTGGTTTAAGAAGAAAACAAACAGAATTCCCTAAATTTAGCCTGAATTGAGAAAGTGAGAATTTTTTCATTCTCAATCAATTTTATGGTTTTGTTCTCAGTAATATAAGGAACTTGTACTAGGTTCCAAGATATCAAAGAAACTTCCTTCATATCTCTTGATTTTCAGGGACACAAAAAATTTCCAAATCTGATTTTTACCAGAGCTGCAGGCAATATACATTTCCTATTATTTTTACCATACATCTACTTTAATGAACCTTTAATTTAGGGTTAACTATAGCCTTAGGAACTGTAATAATTACTCTATTCAACATATAATTAAATGGTAATGACTATTATCTGCTAAAATTGAAGGGGGTGACTTCATACCTGCGCTCCACTATCTTCTGAAACTCAATCCGCATCAGTCTGCCACGTGCTCTTGCCTGGATCATCGTTAAGATTTTAGCAAGTCTCTCATCCCTCATTTCTTCTAGATGGCCCAAGAGACCAGCCTTGAAGAACACCTGGTATGTGCACAGATGTCATTTCACCATAAAGAATTATTTTATTCCAAAGTTACACAGATCTTATTGAAATCATTGAGAAAAATGGTATTTTTATTGACATATTATAAAGTAAAAGAGTATAGAGGACCAAATACTACTTGCATCAGGGACCGCACTGTACAGTTTCAAAGTTGTTTTAAAACTGGATCTCACCTCCTCAGTTTTGAATAGACCAAGCTATTTTATTGCCACATTTTAATTGCCACAGTACTTTTCAACTGTGGCAGGGTTCAGAGCAGGTCAGCTCCTGACTCCCAGATCCCTGCTAATGGGATCATGTCATAATTGCACATGACCTCATTTTAAAAGACCATGCATTTGATCTTGTGATACATACATGTTTGAGTGTACCTATATTAAATAAGCTATTGTTTTACTGGGAGGAATGGAGCATCATCTGCTGTGTCCACTTGTAGTGCTGCTGTAACTAAAGCTTTGTGGGAGCTTGAGCCAGAGAAATAAAATTCCACCAGCACAGCTTAAAAATTAGTATCACTTTGGTGCTATATTTCTGGTTCCTTGTATTATTAACTCTTCATTAATCACCATCACCAGAAATTGCATAATGCCCTATTCTGCAAATCAGATATTAGATTAACCACTTTTCTCTTTACATAAGCAATGATGGTCCTTTCTGGTTACCTTGGTGTGTCCAAAACGATATTGGTTATGGTCAACATCCAAAGATGCCAGAAGTTTTTCAGCAGCTTTTCTGCTATCCACAAATTTATCCTCTGGGATTGCGCCTGGATTCAGAATGCGGTACCTGTTAATAACAGATAAGTGATTAGTAAAATCAGCCTAGATTCTGCTTTTTTTTTTTAATCTTCCTGTCTTCCCCCAAAACTTAGAAAAACCCAAACCAACATCATCAACAACAAACCAACATCAACAACAAAAACTCCTAGGGCAATTTCCTATTTTCCATCTACACAGACACAAGCAAGAGCAGAATTCTGCCTTCCATAGTCAGGCAAACTGAATGAAAAATAAACTTTGACTGATAGGTTAGGACAGGAGACAACACAGCACTGTGTTACCTTTGTTTAAAGTCAGCATAAAGCACCCTGTTTGGGAAACCCTTACGGCAAATGCGGATGCCTTCCAGGACACCATTACAGCGGAGCTGATGCAAGACCAAGAAAGCATCCATTTCACCTGCAGGGGAAAAACAAGGCTAAATTAAACGGAGATTCTCCACAGGGCTTGATCTTCATTTCACCGAGGGAATTGGAAAATGTGAGGCATCATCTCCTGAAAGATCAACACCACTGGATATGGTGAACAACAAAGACAGTGTTTAATTACAATCTGGTGACTTGGAAGTAAGTATTGGAATGACATAGTTCAAATATACTAAAACTTTAAGACTGTTGTGTTTTCCATACCTGGAGTCTTTGATTCATTGGGGATAATGCATCGTACAAAGTGAGGGGCTGTAGATTTTAGGTTAGTCATCAGCTTATTTAAATTTTCCTAGAACAGACATATTAAAAACACAATTAGCTTTAGCAGTTTGATGGAATTCCAGCCACTTATTTCTTTGGTTTGTTGGTTGTTAAGCTTATTAAAGTCATCTCTCTAAATAGTCCCCAACAGAATTATAAGCTTACCAAAATTAAAAAGTACAAATTAACTTTATTATAGGAATCTGCATCAGCTTTAGCAAAATCTTAAGAAGACGCATGTTTTACTTACAACCCCAGAAATGTCAGAAACAAAATGAACAGCAAGCAAGATGCAGTATCATCCTGCAGAACATTTCTGTAAAGCCAAGTGCATTTTTGCCTAGTCACTTCCCCAGTCAGTGAGGACAGTTCACCTTTCCCATCTGTTTCTGAAAAAAGCCAGGTTTTTGTCACCCTGGCCAAATGTTTCCCACTTATTGATCTTAATTAGACATCTCCAAGGCAGGCAGCAAGGTAGCTCAGAATAAGCCAACCATTCGGTGCCTACCAGTGATCACCAAGTTCTGTGGAAAGTGTTTTGTCCAGTAAACAGAAAAGAGAGACCATTAGAGGTGGAATATGATGTGATCACAACAGTTCAAACTGGAAATTTCTCATCGGCCTGTCAGAATGATAAATGAGACAACCTGAGCTGGGTACTTAGCAGCTCCTTGTGTGCTGGAAAGTGGGCTACTATTTGTGGATTATTAAATTACTATCCAAGTGATCCTTCAGCTATCTTTATACTTCTTCAGCTGATAACATATAGATCTCAATTTCACGTGATTTCCTTTCAGGAGAAGTACCTCCAAACAAGATAAAATGGCATGACTAGTGGGAGATAACTACTTCCTTCCCTACCTGAGATTTACCTACCTTACAGCTTCCTTAGTGTTACCCAGAAGAAATTGTACCAATGGTAAATTACAGGTCTCATTTTTCCCCAGAGATGATCCTAGTGGCAGCTTCCACCAGGAGCACAAGCGAGTCCCAGCAGAATGGAATTACTCAGGGAAAAAAGAGGCCATATGATACTCCACTCAGCAACTTTTGTTTTTCATGGCTGCTCTAACCTTAGGATCCAATTACAAACAGTAATCAGATAGGGACTGGCAAATTACATGTAATCAATCCTGATTCCACAGACATGCATGAAGCAATAAGCCACAAAGTAAGTGATACATGTTGTTCACAAGATTTTGTGATACTTTCTTGGATAGAATAGAAAACACTTCATCTCCTGAATGCTCAAAGAAGATAAAATGGAGCAGCCCCTCACACACGTGGTTTTAATATAATTATATTTGTTTAGTCAAGGCCTAGAATCAAATTCTGATGTTGGATTCCATATTTTTTTTTGTCCATTACAATCCTTATCATTTCTCTTCGATGTATTGTCTTTACTCAGACTGTCAGGAAGGGATAAGTAGACAAACCTTGTGCAATGAGGACACTGTTTGAAACGAAGCACCTTTCTTGCGTTTCTTTTCTCCACCCTGGTCAGCTAAGGAAAGAAAAAAAATCTGTATCTCAGTAAGGGGTGCAGGCAAGGCATGGGAGACAGACAAACTCTTCTAATAGTACAGCTTCCTTTGAATGAAAAGCATAGCTAGTGACTTGATGGCTCTGTTTGCTCAGGGTTTGCAGCTCTATGTCCATACTCAGGATTTTCGTCAAAGACCACTGTAAGCTTTTTGGATTGCATTTGCATTTCAGATCTAGACAGCATCACTTGTTGTGCAGAAAGTCCATATTTATGAATAAGGCAGAAAAATAACTTTTAACAAAGTAGAGTCATTTGTAGTTCATTAAAAAGCCGAGACTGGACAAGGCTACTCTGGACAGGTTGTTCTTTTCTCCTGACATGGAGGAAAAACAAGGTAGAATTCCGACAGACAGGAATACCCACAGGCAAATAGGCAGTTAGTAACCTGCAAGAATTTGTTAGTGGCAGGATTTTTCTTATTTATATTCAGCTCCCTGTCTTATTCACATTTTGAAGTCTGCAGCCTCCTTGCTTCCTCAGAAAGCATCTTATGATTCATGACAACCACATCTATAGAAATGAGGTTACTAATAAATAACTGTAAGTGATTGCATCCTCAGGACATGAGCTACATCTTTGTAATGAATGCCAGTCTTATTTACTTAAGATTGATTTTCTAGATGCTTGCTACTTGTCTTCTCAAAAATACAGTTCTGTGTAATGTATACAACTTTTAAATACGTTCTCAGATCTACATTAGTCTTGCCAAACAAAAAACCAACAGCAAGCAAAAAGGAAGACCTATTGGCAAAACCTTCTACTCTGGCCAATGTGGAATGGTGTTCAGGTATCTTCAGAGTCTACTTGCCAATAATCCAACAAAATATTCTAAACCTTTCACTAAAACTCTCTATTTATTTAATTCAGAGTGTCTAGCAAGGAGGTCTGCAGCATGAGTAACAAGAGCTGTACTCCATCATAGGCATTTACATACAAAATTCTTTGTGCAACCCTTGCCTGTATGGAACACTTGCATGCTACAACTTCCACTGGAGTGTTCACAGCACACAAATTTCCTTGCCAAAACTGCTTGGAGGTGGTGTGCATTTGAACTAGCCAAGTTAATGGCCTCCTTGGTATAACTGGCAAACTCCTATAGATGCTATGCGCATCTAAATAATTAGTCACTGGCTCATTTAGCATTGAGTCAAATGCAGTTGAGAAAATTGTTTTGTTTCTTAAATTCATTTCCAAGCACATATTCCAGACAGGAAATAAAACCCATGTGAGCTGATTCTGCTTACCACTGTCAGCGCCAACGTAACTTTCAAACAAGCTTGCCAGGAGTTTGTTGGATGATTTTTGGAAAATACCCACTACAGTTTCATTAAGCGGGTCTTTGTTCTTCTCAAGCCACCCAATGATGTTATAGGGAACCTACAACAAAGCATCGAAAACAAATCAGAGGTTGCAAATGTTCCTCCTCAGAGTAGCCAGTAGTTCTGCCTGAATCCAATGACCCTTTGTGAAGTGCTGCTCCTAAGATAAATACCAGCCACCCAGTTTATCATCACTTCCCCTCCAATTCTCTGCTATCTAATTCCCTCTCTTCCTAATAATTACCATCTGTATCCTGCACACCCCTTCAAAACTATCTGGTCCCTACATCTTCTCATGGACTTCCATGGTTGGCTGTAGAGATACCACATGTCATCAGTGTCCCAGGAACCCTACTAATAAGGGCTGAACTATGGAATGCACAAGTAATAATTTCACTTCACAACAGCATGCTACATTGGAATAATGAATTTTCTGATGGAAATTTAATGATTAAAAATCTAACTCCTGAACTTTGCCACAGCTTTGTTTAGTGGGAAAATATGTTCCATAATTAGTACCATAAGGGGATAAAAATTCTACTTTTCTTTGCTGAATATTTTAACAACTACAGATAAATAGCAAGATGGACATTGTTTTTCTTAATAAATACAAAATTAGCTTAATGTTCAATTATAATTTGAAATTAACAGCATCAGGTAGGTTCCAGATCTGCTGTGCTGAGGCTTCATATCAACCCTAGTTTGATAAAAAATTTCCAGTCTCCCTTTCAGATTCTTTCTACCCATCTGGTCTGAAAAGAGAGCTTTGAAACAGAACAAATTTTGGCTCAGGTATCACAGTACTGGATTGTATTTCCATTTATGCCATCATCAGCAAATCTGTTAGCTAGACCTTCACAGCAGAACTAACCACATTCCCTTGGCTACTTTGGCACACTGGTCCTAACATAAGTTAAAAGTTATGCAAATTTTTTAAAATTTTTTGTTTGTTTGTTTGTTTTAGACATCCCTGAAGTTAGGCAGAAATTATTCAGTTCATTTGAACAAGAAAACAAGATGGACAGTTAAATGCTGCTGCTGTTTAATCACTAGTCTGGCTCTGATTAGAGGAAAAGTGAGAAAGGCAAGGCAAGGTATGTTTTCAGCAAAAGTACTATCAGCCTTCCTCAGTTTGTTTAATTTTATTTGTGTATGCAAGGACCAGATGTCCTAGAGTCTGATGGCATCTCACTGTGTTGCAATACTTGTGTAGAGAGAGTAGACAACTCCTCACTGTCCCTTTCTTCATCTCTTCTTCCTTCCCACCCTCCACATTGCACACAATGGGACAAACTCTGCCTGGAAGACCTCTAATACAAAATATACCCACGAGCAGAGGAACTTACTGCACCAGCATAATGAAGAAGTTCAAAGTGAGCTTCATATTTCCTTTTCTTATCAGGCCTAGGCTTCTGTAAATTGGGTGACTTGCCAAGATGATTGTCATAGAGTTTGGCTTTGAATGTCATATCTGTAGCTTTCGGGAACATACATTCCTCTTCAAGGATAGACAGGATTCCCAATGGCTGTAGATTTAAGAACATCTTTGTTGGAAAATGCTTAGGCTTCCTGCTTTCAGTTGCTGTTCAGCCTTTAAGTTTGATCTGATGGAATTTTAAGCCAGCAAAATTTCTTCTCATCCTGAGGAGGAAGCCTTCGACTATTCTGGTAAAATAGTAACTACACCTTTGACTATTCAGTATGTCACTTCTGCCTTAGGAGGCTTTATGATGACTTCCAGAAAGGGTTTGTTTTACCTTTCAAGGCAGTTGGACAAATTAGCATTTTATTATTCATGTTTCAGGAAAAGACGAACTAACTTCCTAGCACTTACCATATTGTTTGAGGGACTGGGATCATGTGCACATATCTTACCCCTGGAGAAGTGATTAAGTAGAAGAGCACTTAATAATCAGCCTTTCTACTCCAGCTGTTCCAGATGTCCTGCTAATGCAAGACTCAACATTTCATTTTTCCTCACAGATCAGCAGGGTTAGATGTCATGCCATAGAAGATGCAGAAAGAATGATACAGCAACGGACAGCTGTCCCCACCAGGACCACATTACACTCACAAAGAAGGGAAAAGGAAAGTCATATCCTATGCTGGTGAACCAGTGAGAAGGAAGCAATAGTTCCAGGCTAGGGAGAGTGCAGAGGACTTTGCACATCAGCATGTAATGTAATGTAATGTAATGTAATGTAATGTAATGTAATGTAATGTAATGTAATGTAATGCAATGCAATGCAATGTAATGTAATGTAATGCAATGTAAGAAACAGGGGCTTCACAAGGGGAGAGAGGTACAGGGCATGTGACTGAAACATGGCATTTGCCTTGAAAAGATGACAAGTAAGTTTGATGCTAAGCGTATGTGGAACAAAGTAAATGGAAGCACAGCAGGGACAGAGAAAGACAAAAGTAAAAGCCAAGGAAGATTATACAGCCACACAAATTAGCAGTTACAGCTTGTGGTTACTGCTGGCTCTGTAAGGCACACTTAAAGAGGTCAAGTCAAGTAGTCACAAATGCCACAAGTACTGGTTTTCATTTGGTTATTGCATGTAGAAAGGCAAGAAACTTGTCCTGCTGTTTATCCTGCTCTGTTTACTGGGACTTGAGGACATCTCCAAGGAAGCATCATGTATAAAACCAATTCAGTAAATGAATCTTAGCACTCCTGTACGTACCTTCTCAATTAGATCAATGCAGGCCTGCAGGTCCATGCCAAAATCAATGAATACCCATTCAATACCTTCCTTCTTATACTCTTCTTGCTCCAGGACAAACATGTGATGGTTGAAAAACTGTTGCAGTTTCTCATTAGTGTAATTAATGCAGAGTTGCTCAAAGCTGTTGAACTGCAGGAGGAGATAAAAAAGAAGCATTTGCACCACAGTTAAGTATGGCAAGGGCTTGGTGGAAGAGCAAGAATGAAGCTGTGTATGTCGAAAGCCTTCTAAACAGTAGCTGGTTGAGAAACTACTGAGCATAACACAAAGGCAAAGGAGGGGGAAGTTCAGCAGCAGGCTGCTGACTGCCTCAGGTGCAGTCCTCCAGAGTGTGAGGAAGCCCAGATTTGTTCAGTCTTTCGGAGTCATTTGTCTTTCCTTCAGCAGCATGCCATCCCCATAACCACAACAGAATAACAGGACAGCCCAGGTTGGAAGGGGCTTCAAAAGATCATCTGGTCCAACCTTTCATGGGAGAGGGAGCCTAGGTGAGATTATCTAACACTTTGTCCAATTGTATCTTGAAAACATGTATTGATGGGTACTTGACACATCAATTGATGGGTACCCTGGGGGAGTTGTTCTAGTGAAAGATTGTTCTCACTTGTAAAAAATTTATTTCTTATATCAAGATGAAGTTACATTTCTTACACTGAGATATAAAGAGGAAGAAATATCATACCCTATAAAAGATGCTTTCTCTAAAAGAGGAAGAGTGGAAACAATATATTCTCCTAAAACACAGCCCAAAGCATGTCAGATGTATTTGCCACAGGTTCCCACCCTCTTCCTCCCCAGGAACTATTCACACGTCCAGCTGTGTTAAATGCTGAGTGTTTTCTACATCTATTCATGGCAAAACCTTGTAAAATTGCATATGCTATTTGCTTTATGGCTTCATCAGCACTTTTCCTTCTGTTGTTTAGAAAAAAAAATACCCACTCAAGCTATAGCTTGGTATCTTTTATGTCCTATCACCAAGTCCTCATACGTTAATACTCACATCAAAGATTTCAAACCCGGCAATATCCAGGACTCCAATGAAGAACTGTCTTGGCAGCTTAGTGTCCAAGGTCTTGTTGATACGGACCACCAGCCATTTGAACATTCGGTCATACACTGCCTTGGATAAGGCCCCAACAGCATACAAAACCTAAAATACATGTTTCAAAATACCACTATGTGGAGCAGAATTCACTATGGGATATAAAGATTTCAGTATAGCAGCCTATTTCAATCCCCACTTATGGTTTAAATGTTACTTCACAATGATTCTTATAATCACCAAGGCATACTTAAAACACCACACAGCTTCTCCCATTATCTATGCTGACTTTTCTTCAAATTATCATTACATATATGTGTGTCTAGTAACAAGTACATTAAGTGCTAGTAAAGTGCCTCTTGGGAAACAGCTGGATAGCAAGTTGCAAATGTTTTAATCCCTTGCTGTGGAAGTTAGGTACCAGAAAGCTCACAGGCTAGATGCCAGCCATGATGTCCCGAGCTACTGCCAGAATAAGGGAGATTTGTGCTCAAGTTTCACAGAATCACAGAATCACAGAATCACAGAACGTTAGGGATTGGAAGGGTCCTCAAAAGATCATCTAGTCCAATCCCCCTGCAGGAGCAGGAACACCTAGATGAGGTTACACAGGAAGGCATCCAGGCGGGTTTTGAATGTCTCCAGAGAAGGTTCTCATTGCCATTTGCTTGTAATTTTTGAGGGGAGTTAGAGCATAAGTAGGCTATAGGGAAAGCCTGTCAAAAGCCTCTTTAGCCTATGCTACACTGATAAGACAGGCCTCTCTTCATCAGTTTTCTAGTTTTCGAGCCTGTACCATAGTCTGCCTTCAAACAACAATTTTCATTGTAACCAAAATGCTGCAGTATCTTTTGCAATACTGTTACTGCTGCAGCTGTGCTAACCCAAGGACTTTTGTTTCCTAATTTAAAAGATACCTCTAAGTGGATATTGCCTTTAGCTGATTGAGGTCACACAGAGCTTAAAATTACATGAATAATGAATAAGTGATGAGTGAATAAATAATCCATGACTCAAGTCTTCTAGGCAACTATTCTCATCCAGAATTAGATATCAATCCCCATGTGGTTTTACTGCACCTGGTTTCCTTGAGTGGCTGCTACTAACACGTCAGAAAAACAGTCCTGTCAAAGGCAGCGCTGGCCACTATTCCTTTGTCAGTCTCTTCACCAGTTTCCCACACTTTCACTGTCTGTTCTCCCAAGTTTGAGGATATAAAATGTGAACAGATACTAGAGGTACGTGTTAATATTGCTTGCAGCCGTCTATCTTCCTGAGATGTTACAGATAAATCCTTAAGGCTTGTGGGACAGGTATCCAAATACTCTTGACAACTTCTTACCTGCTCAACACTTTGACCTTTGGTCACATACTCATTGCCAACTTTCACTCTAGGGTGCAATAAACCCTTAATCAAATCAGAGGAGTTGATTCCCATTAGGTAGGCAGCTTTGTCAGCACCTGATAAAGAGAAACAAGGTTTCAACTGTCTTTGAACTTCTACACAGAAACATGCATAGCCAAGAAAAAGTGTGAAATACATCCACTTCCAAAGAGAAACTGAATAGAGACCTTGCCCTTTTAATGACTTGTGTTCGGTGTTACAAAAATGTAATTTCTTTGGGTTACTCTGACTGTGTCTATTCACCTTCTACTGAGTATGGTTGCCCATTACTGAACAAGCCACTGCTACAAATAAAGCATATCACTCTTTGCTGAACAGGAGCTACATTGTACAAGATCAAAGCAAACAGACTGCTTCTTCCTCAACATAGTGCAGGACACATGCCAGACTTCTGAATGTAAGGAGTAATTTTAGGTGTTATTCTTACTTTCAGTGCCATCTGCCTCTGCCTGCTCTTCTCTGGGTCTTTGTTTGAATTTCATGTTCCCAAAGTGCATGATGGCACCTGTGAGCTTGTAGGAACCAGACTTCTCATCAGGCACAAATCCCAAGATGTCCATGGCTTGCTGTGAAAAGGAAATGCAGGTGTTTTGTCACTTCCTTATTCAAAAGCAATGGCATCTTGCAGCCCTACAATGTACCTTTGCATGGCAGATATCACTAACTTGCCAAGGTGTGTTATCTCACAAAACAGCCACTGGAACTCCCTGAAGACCCAGCAGTGGCTGGAAAGCAGTAGGAGAGCTTCCTTTATCTCATGTTTTATACATCAAAATCATAAGAACATTGTGTCCATGGGCATTACATGGAGCAAGGCCAGATTCAAAAGCACAATAGTTTGTCAGGCCTTGTGCTTCATAGTATGAATGTAATTAAGACCCATTTCTGCTTTCACTTTAGTTCAATATATTCAGTGACAGAAATTAGGCTCCTGCCAGCACTTTTCCTCCCCATATGCACCTAATATAGGAAGCAAAAAGTCAAATCAATAGAGACTTACATCTGTTGCCAACAATTCTTCTCCGTCATCCAAGTTGTCCACAGTAACTACTCCTTGTGAGCAAAAGTGGTAGTCATATGGGTTGGTAGATACCAGTAGCATATCTGTAAAAGAACTGCCAAGGTCAAAACTGCCATCCATTCAGGATATCCCCCAAAAAATGAAGATCAAAAGATCAACTCTGACATACATTTGTCCCTGCACAACCATAGATAAAGTTGGGGGGAGGGTTGTTGGGGTTTTTTTTGTTGTTTGTTTTATTACAACTCTCTTAATCTACTATTCCAGACTGAAGAGCAAGATTTAAAGAAAGCATGAATAAAAAGAATATGGGAATACTGCATTACACATCTATTAAGCATGTTTTGCAGTATACTGAGTTCATAATTTCCTGTATAGCCCTACTTTCTGCCTTGCATGCCTGTAGGGGTAAAAATCCCATCTAAGTACAGAGGAGAAAAAGATTTTAATATGAACAAAGACAAGAAAAATGGGCATGGTTCCCCTCTTCTATAACAGACTCACAAAATAGTGACTTCCAGGACTCTTTGCAGAAAGCACTTGGCTCTCGATGAACAGAAGTCTGAATGCGGCTCTGCCTTTCTCTCCACTTTCCTTTTCCTTCACATCAAAGTCTAAAAATGTAGAGTTCTTTTCTAAAAAGCTATCTGGCTCCAAAAGTACAGGTAGAGTCCTGTTTCCCTAAATCAATAGAATGTTTCACCCTCATTAAGCAGACTAAGGTTTTGTCTAGATTTCAATCTTTTATATACATATGCACATACCTACATGTTTAAATATGTATGTAAATATATATATGTCTATATGTGTATATTAAATCATATTCTCTATAAGTCTGTGTTACTTTGCTATGTAGTCACTATGTTGTATGTTCATTTATCTACATCTATATTTTGCTATATTTGTACTTATCTATAGTTAGATAGGTATGTGTTTATTTACAAATGCATACATTTCTTGCCTAAAAAATGGAAGCCCCCATTGGTTTCAGCCTCTTCAAGAGCCTGCAGACATGCTAGTGCTGGCCAGAAAGGTGTATGCTGTTGTAGATTATATAGACAGACAATTTATGAGAAAGAGCGTCTTTTCCCAGCACAGAGATTCACACAGGAATCTCAGTGCAATGCTTCCTTGAAATCTTTCCCGTAATCGTCATTAATTAGGCCATGTAAAAGCTAAGAGGGTTAGGGACTTGACCACTCACTGTCAGTATAATAAGACATCAAAACAGATTATGATTGCTATGGCTTAGTAGCAGTTTAGTGCAGCGGCAAAGTGACTCTTCAATGTATTTCATAAAATGTGCTTCTCCAGACTACAAATTAAAGCCAGCAAACCACATCACTTAAATAACTAGTGAAGGTTTTATTCAAAATATTAGGAGATGGGAGCAGAGAGGCCTCATCTTCTCTCTGCTTTTCTCCAGCAGGTCTATGGGACTGCATCCAGCCAGGGAAAACTTGAAAGGGGTAATCGCCCCACATTCAGTGGCAGGTGGCTTTGCATATTCTCCCTTGCTACAGTGCTTGGGCACTTGAGGCAGAAAGCAGGAACTAGCTTTTATTTATGGACCTATAAGCAAATATGCTCATATGTGAAAATCTGGATAATTAAAGTTTTATCACCACAAGTGTTTTGGAAGTCTAGCATTTTCCAAATGTTTCAAGACCTTGGATTACACAAATTCAGAGTGACATTTTTTGCCTTTGTAACACTACGTTTTAGAAGTCCTCCCTGAATCTTATTCCCCTAGTCTAATCTGTAATACCACTTCACTTTATAGGGCACCTGCATCAGTGTATCACAGAAAAATGGCCTCTGTTGCTGCCATTCCAACAGCATCCTTAAAAGAGTATATTTGACAGTGGAAGTTGAGTTTTCTCAAGTAGAAGCTCAAGCATCTTTCTGAACACAGGTTTGCCCCATACCCCCTCCTCAGCCACTGTTTGTTCAGCTAAAGGTTGGTTCTTAAAAACTGCAGATCCACGTAATGCTTACCTAGTAACTCTGGCTTCTTTCCCGACAGGATTTGGTAGAAGATGTGATAGTCTCTTTCACCTGGCTGCTGAAAAATCACTCGGGATTTCTCCAATAAGTCTAGTTGCACAAAGAAAATGTCAGTGAGAAAAGCTCTTCAAGCCTTCAGATGAGGAATTGTATTTTTTTAAAAAGGAGAGAGTTTTCTGCTTACAAATCTCAATATCAGCAGATGACAGCTTGCCTGTGGTTCCAAAATGGATTCGGATAAATTTACCCTAATTCACACAGAAGAATATTCTAATTAGTGCATATAGTATACACTGAGGGAAACAAAGGATGCTGCTTGCAGGCAATCATTTGGCCCAAAGAATCAGTTTATGCTAACTCATTGGCTTTGCATAGGCAGATTTTCAATGAGAACTATCAAACCTTGATATCACACTTTTCCAAGCCTAAATCTATACATACAACTAGATAATCAGCTTGTGGGAAAAGGATAATGGTGTACTTATCTGCCAGGCTAAGATACGGAAATGCATATAGCTTCCAGTTTCGTGACTCAGATTTACTGTAATGCAGGACTCGCAGCCATAAGCCTGGGTATGAGACACACAAGCTCCTTTTTTGACTCCTCCCCTTTTGTGGTCCTAACTTACATGCAGCAATTTATGTCAGAAGGGTGCTGTGATTTTACACTGCTTTGCCCATTAAATTTGCATATTCATCCCGCCAAGTTTCATAACGATCAAGTAGTTTTCATTTAATTTATCATATTCAAACACATCTACTTTTAAAAGTAATTAATTTCCATTCCAGCTGACAAACTCCTTATAAAATTGTGTAGCTTTCCACAGATGCTTACAACCTCTGAACCTCTTCACCCCTTCCAATTTCATTTTTAACTGAATTTGTTAGGGGAACATGGGATGCAAACTTGGGCTGTCATCCTCATGCCATTCTTTTTGAACCTCTGAGCCAATGTCAACCCGATGTGGTAGAGGCAGAGCTCGGGAGGCGATTGCTCGCCTGCAAGCCTAATGGAAATGAGGAGAGGTCCCAGGTCATGCCAGCACTGAGGGACAAGCAGGGGTAGCTTACTCAGCCATAAAAATAAGGGATATGGCTCATAGGTAGGAGTACTGCTGCATGTGTGGGTCTGCAGAGGGGGAAGATGTGGGAGGGAGCAGGGACTGTGGTGTATTTCTGACACTTAGTGAAGTGTCAGAGAAGTATAGTGAGAGGGAATGATTTAGGCAAGTGGAAAACATGGTAGGAAAATAAAGCTATGCAGCAGATGCAGTCCTGGGGAAGATCTGCCATTGCTGTACAAAGGGCTTCATAAATCTGGGCTTTGCTTGTTTCCTGATCATGTACAGTTTCTATTTATCTTTAATCCTTCCAGTAGTTTTTCCTGGTTAGGTCCTACTTTGTTATTCTTCTACTGTGTGGAAATCCAACCATTTTAGTGGGCAAAATGAGAAGAAACTTATGATTATTACAGAGATACCATTAACTGGCCACTGTTGAAGAGGACATTGTTACATTAAGTTACAGACTTACAAAACGTGAAGAGTTGTCATTTCTCAGGGTTTTGGCATTTCCAAAAGCTTCCAGGGCTGGGTTTGCTTGAATGATTTGATCCTCCAAGGTTCCCTAGAAATCAAGGTTTAAATACTATTGAGAAGCCTACAGGCCACAAACTCGGCTGTCAACTAAAACTCAGCCATGCATTCACTTACAGAGAGAAACCTCTGTAGCAAAGAGGGTGGCACAGTGAGAATGGCGTAACAGCAAGATTGTCAGTCAATGATGAATGCTTGAAAGGCCTCAAACATTCCTCTGCTCTCTACTGTTTTGTTTTGTAGGTTTGATATTTTATGCTATCTGTATGCAAAAGAAATCACCATATCTTCCCATGTACTGTGAAGCATGTGGGGACATCCAGGTGGATATGTGTATCGGAGGGGCTAGTGAAGACAGCAGCAAGCACTAAAATGCAGTCGATTCGAAATCACTCAGAGCTTGTAATATTTGTGATTTTTGGAGGTGAGAACACCATTAACTGTTACTAACACAAACTTTAGTTTGCTGAAGCAAACTAATTCAACTGCCTGGGCTTCAGGGATCCTTCACTGGAGGAACCATGCAAAGTGAAATGCTGAGGTTCCTGACATGGACTGACAGAGCCTAGTACCATTTTCATGTGGAAAAGATAAAATAACAAAGATGATGACTTACCCCAGTTTTTGTAGCTGGTTGCTGACAGAACAGGAAAACAGTGGAGAAAAAGAAAAGAGAGAATGTGATTACTAACATTAAAGACATCACAAATGATAAGGATTAGCAAGGTTAGAAGTCTAGTGGGCACCAACACATCAGCAGGACTTTCTGAGGCCTTCCTTAAAAAAGCACACGAGAACGTTACTTCGCGTTTACCATATATCACAAAACAGCCAAGTGCTGTTTGCACCCAGCATGTTGTTTTAATGCCTGCCCCAAACATCCTCCTGGTTTTTCTCTGGAGATGTTCCACAGTGAACTGAAGGGCTAACTAACTGGACAGAGCAGAGAGACTGATGCCGGGTGGCAAGAGTAAAAGGATGTAAATACAAACAGACAAGTGTTAGACAGTTAGATCGTGCTGCATTTGAACTCTTAGATTATTTGAAAAGAAAAGGGTGACAATAATGAAGATGAAAGGAAATCTGAGCTGATAAACTACATGGAATATCTTCCAGCTGCATTATCTGTTATTTGCACCATTTTTCCATGAGCATACCAGGTTTCAGACATCATTATAAGCATCAACCTGACTGGATACAGAAAGCTGGCTCTGGACCACTCAATCATTTGTTAAGAGAGCATTGCAGGCCTCAGATGAAAGTGTATTAGATTTTGGTGACGTACATTATGCGTACAGAAGCTAAGCCTGGCTGAAATTTTGGCCTTATAAATACAGTTCATAGGAATCACTTAATTCACGAAAGAGTGCTGAGCTTTCAAGTGCAATGAGGCACGCAGTTGAATAAGCTCATAGCAACACAATAAAAAGCAGCATGAGTACAGTATTCACTGCAACCTTAGAGAGCACTTATAAGCAGAACAGCACTTATCTGGAGACAAATACAGGAAAGCTGATTGGAAAAAATATTTAGTCAAAACATTCATTTTTTGTGGACAAAAAAGCTTTAAACAAAACAGTCATTTTGATGAGAAATTATAATCCTAGTTATTTCGAAGACTATTTTCCATGTAAAAAAAAAAAATCAAATTTCTTAATCATCATAGTCTCCCCATCTTTCAACCAGCTTTAACATGTTCAGAAAAATAGTTAACATGCACAAACTAAAACTCCTAGAAAAAAGCAGTAGCAACAAGCAGCTGTTCAGAACCAGGAGTAGTTTTGCAGCTTTGTCTGGAGCGTGGCAAGTTCAGATGAGTGTTGCCTTTCTCCCTTCAGAACAGCATGGTCTCATGGAAAAGCATCAGTATCTTTTCCACAGAGTTTCTTTTCTTAGTCATACCTGCTGAGGACTAGCACATAATGTAGTGTTTGAGATGTAGACTTGTGAGGTTAGCTGTACACGACAAAAAATCCTTGAGAGTCTGAAATGCAACATCCTCCAGCAGACTTACAGTCTTTTTACCAGGTTCGCCCAGGGCTGCCACTGTGGCAAAGTACTGGATGACACGTTTCGTGTTGACAGTCTTGCCAGCGCCAGATTCTCCGCTAAAGGGAGGAGAAAGATAACACAGGCATTGCTCAAACAGCTGTAACTCATCCTTTCACCCTCCTGTCCTTCCAGCTCCTCCCCACACACAGGCTGTTCTCAGAAGCACTAACTCTGATATCTGCAGCCTGTTGTTTGGCCATTTCAGTGGAAATCACATTGAATTGACTGAATGAAGAGGTGAATGGCCTGCGATAGCAGCAACTAATTCTTTACGTGACTGGGCTCAGAAATCTAGTACAAACCCATGCTACACTAAGCTTCCTTTCAGGGCACTAATTTTTATTATAAACATCCAAACTGAGGATCTGAGGTATACCTATATACAGCTAAAGAGTTAGAAAACATACAGAAAAGCTTCAGTGATTTGCCATCAATAACCAGGAGCACATGTGAACTGTGTAGACACCCAACTCTCCATCTTTCATGCTTGCCAGTAAATGAAGTGTCTCTTCTTTTCTACCTTGGTCTTCTCCCTCCCTTTGGATGTGTCTACACAACATTCTTAAATATAATTTTCAGCAAGAGAAACCAGATTGAACAGAAGGAGCCTTCAATGACCTATTAGAGAGCAGTGTAGGGGTAAGGGACCTGGGGGTCCTGGTGGACAGCAGGATGACCATGAGCCAGCACTGTGCCCTTGTGGCCAAGAAGGCCAATGGCATCCTGGGGTGTATCAGGAGGGGGGTGGTTAGTAGGTCGAGAGAGGTTCTCCTCCCCCTCTACTCTGCCCTGGTGAGACCGCATCTGGAATATTGTGTCCAGTTCTGGGCCCCTCAGTTCAAGAAGGACAGGGAACTGCTGGAGAGAGTCCAGCGTAGGGCTACAAAGATGATGAAGGGAGTGGAGCATCTCCCTTATGAGGAGCGGCTGAGGGAGCTGGGTCTCTTTAGTTTGCAGAAGAGGAGACTGAGGAGAGACCTCATTCATGTTTATAAATATCTAAAGGGTGAGTGTCACGAGGATGGAGCCAGGCTCTTCTCGGTGACAAACAATGATAGGACAAGGGGTAATGGGCACAAGCTGAAACACAGGAGGTTCCACTTAAATTTGAGAAGAAACTTCTTCTCAGTGAGGGTGACAGAGCACTGGACCAGGCTGCCCAGAGAGGTTGTGGAGTCTCCTTCTCTGGAGACATTCAAAACCCGCCTGGACGCCTTCCTGTGCAACCTCATCTAGGTGTTCCTGCTCCGGCAGGGGGATTGGACTAGATGATCTTTTGAGGTCCCTTCCAATCCCTAACGTTCTGTGATTCTGTGATTCTGTGTCCAAAGAGGGCAGCCACAGCAAGGATAACCCTTGAAGAAGTTTCTTTAACTGCTTGCTGAGTTGTTTTCATGCCTACTTGGAACGAATGCCAGATGGGGATCAGAAATGGGCCAGCCTCCATCAAACCCTTAGCTACTCCTTTCCCATGGGGCTCAAGACAGTTATCAGATGGCCAAATTGCCAGTAACTTGGCTTGGATCAAGTTACAGGTAATTAGGTGAGCTTTCAAACGTCAACTTTTATTTCAGAAGGATTTTTTTTCTTCTAAATTTTCACAGCAACAGAGTCTCAGATCAGTCAAAAAAGAAGCACTTACGTGATCAGCATAGACTGATTCTCCCGATCTGTGAAGAGGGGGAAAAAACAAACAGAAAAAGACGCAAACTTAGTAGGCTGTACAAATTGCTTATTATAATTGCAAATGAGTACCAACTCTTCCAGAATCAGTCCTGCAAGAGCAGGAGAGATTCACATGAAGCAGGGATGGAAAGATAAAAACTAGCATCACCCAGTCCAACCTCCAGCAGTGCAAGTTCCAGCCCCGCCCTGAATCCTCCTCTCATGTTTTGTTCAAGTCAGTATTGAAGACCTGTCAGTCATCCACATTCCCACTGTGTCTGGAAAACTATAATTAAGAAAGTAATTTCCCGTCATCAGTATCTTTCTTTTCTCACTCCTGAGTACATCTTTGCTCAAATATGACCATTCTGCTCCTGCAATACTAGACCAGTCCAAGTAATTTTGTTGTTTGTTTGCAGACCATTCCTTACTATGCATATGTACTCTTCTTCAGTTGGCCATGCTGCTGGAATGAAGTTTTATAGTGTCATTTTGCAACCTTAATATATTATTAACTAAGTTCAGCGAATGTTAAATCACAGCAGCTTCCCAAGCCATTGAGCCTAAATTCCTCTTTTCTTTTTTAAGTCCAGTCATCATGACAGGCTACACATTGGGCAACCTGGCCACGTTTCACCCTTATCTGATAAAAAAAGCATGTCTTTGCAGCCACACAAACATCCCCTCTGCCCAGTGTCTTCTGTCCCCTAGCAGCTGTGTCACTTTCCATTTCATTGCAACCAGGTGACAGCAGGATATGTTCCCACCAAGTCTCTTTGGGATTTACCCTGCTGTCTCCGCCCCACAGGACCTGGTGTGAGCACATCGCTGCTGCCCTCTGCTGATTATTTTTTCTTCCCCCCCCCAGTAACTTGAAAGTCAGGGCAAGAAAACTTCACAGGAAAATCTGGAGTTCATTGTCGCAGGGTTGGTGCCCAGACCCACGTCAGGTTCGTGCAAGCAATGTGTGCTCAGCACCATAGGTAGCTGACCTCCACTAACCTTTGAATGCATACATCTTCTGAGCATTGGAATACTGAGTGTGAACTGACAGTAAGTTTATTTCTGATCTTGGGAAAAATACTTACAGACCTTTGGGGCACGGACTCTTTTCTGTTAAAAACTGGTGGATTCACCCAGTTCAGACAGCTAAATTTGTGCACCTTACAGATAATCTATATACAGAGCTACTCCTACTGACAGTACCATAGGGACAGTCAGGGGAGTTAAAAAAAAACAAACAACAAACCAAACAATTTTTTTTTAAAAAAGGACACAGAGTGTCAAGCCTTTGTTGCTTGTAGAGTATTTGCACTTTTGTTGCACACTGCAAAAGCTCTCACAAACTTCCATCTGGTACCAATCATGCTGGCTAAGTAAAGGAAAACCAAATCTGAAAGCAAATAGTGCCACTTACTACGCAGCATGTCATGGTATGCGTTATCAGCGATGGAGAAGATGTGGGGAGGAGCCTCTGAGCGCCTTTTCCCTTTGTATGCAGCAACGACCTCTGGCTTGTAGACTGGCAACCACTTGTAGGGATTTATAGTTACACAGAATAAGCCTGAATAGGTCTAGAGAGGAACACAAAACAACAGTATAAAAAACAGCACGAGGAATGAGAAAAAAAATCTTGGTTATCCGAGAAGGAATTGGTATTGCTGTCTTCTGATCTGAGGTTGAATTCTTACTTGAATTTCATCCTTTGATTTGAATTTCTAAAGCTATTGGTCTGCTTAAGCGACTTCCTATTGGCAGTCGATATCAAAATTACAGATATTAAACAGTTTTCCAAGGGGGGAAAAGTATTATCAAGATGACAACCAGAAAAAGAAACAGTCCCTTCAGCAGAACAGAAGCAGCAAATAGACCTACATATGATCTTCTGCCTTGCTACCCAATGAGAGCTGTTTCTTCTTGAAAACATTCATTACAAAGGAAAGGAGAAAAACTTTCCTGTTCAAACTTCATTCTTAGGAGAAGAAACAATCACCCATTATTAATTTGATGTGAGCACTTTGCAGCAATTTCTGGTGGGTGTTCAAAGAGAAAACAATTTCATAGTCTCATTCCCCAAAGCAGCAGAGCTTTTTTCAGCTTTTGGAGAAACGCAGCTGGTAAAAATCTGTCTTTGTAGTTGCTCTTTGAGCTATCTACATGAGTTGGCTGGGGCCTGGCAGTTCTGAGGAAGAGTGAGTTTCCAGTTGTAACCCTGGGGAATTGGTGTTAGGTGGTAATTTTTCAGATACCTAAGTCCAGGTTGAAGCAGAAATCTTCAAAGAAAACCAGCTATTATGTGGGCACAAGCACTACACGCATATTGATTAATGAGCTCAATTATGTTCTAAAATTTTCAGGTGAAATCCAGGGTCCTTTGCCTAAAAGCAGTGTTAGGACCTATTCCAAAATAGCCTTGGCATGAGTCCTCAGTCCTATTTTCTACAAGTGAAAAACATCCCAACTGCAAATGGATTCAGGCAAGATGAGAAATTTAATTTTCTAATTATACTGATCTGCAAGCAAAACTATACTTTATGCCATCCATATCCATACGGGCTGTTAGAGAAATGCAGAAAATATTCAACAATCAGAATTTAAATGGAAAAAAGTTGGACTTGCTCCTCTGATGAACACCAAAAACCAGAATAAAGGATTGGCTAGAAAATCTAGAGATTCCCCTGACTGATTCCAAACACAATTGAATGCAGCAAATTGAAAGAAAAGTTTTGCCTTATGAAATTAGATACTACTGAAGCTTGTTCTGGTGCTGACAGAAATTATGCTCATGATGTCATAGGGAAGATGCAGAGCAAGGGAAAAGGCCAGAGTGAAACAAGACAGATGTCAGCACCAAAAATGAAAGGAATAAAATAACTGGAGACAGAAAGGCTCATACTTAAAAGAAGTTATTTGTATGCTCTAAGCTTGAGGCATTGTTTCTCAACAAGGAAATCTCCATGGCTGATGCTGGCATGGATTATTAGGAGAGGAAAAATAAACTAGGTCTACCCAACACCTTGATTGCTGAAAATACGTCCCATGACACCCCTTTCCTAGGCAAACAAGCAGAATCAAAGAATTAGACGCCATCTTATTCTTTTTGTCTGTTTGTATTCAGACACAAGCCAACTCCAAGCAACTTCTTTCCTGAAAAGATGAGCAAGACCCTCAGTTTTGTGGCATATCAAAGTTGTAAACTGAATATGGAGAACACAACATATTCAAACTTCACAGTACTGGAAATGAAGATTTCTAAATATATCCTTGTAATGGCTCTTACATAGATCATCCAGTTGCTGTAGCGCTTTCTCAGATTATACAACACAGATGCCTCATTCAGATGGGTCAGCATAGCCATGTCCTCGATCATGTCAAATTTGGGAGGGTTCATTGACTGCACATCATCTTCTTTTATAGTCATGGTCTACAAAGACAAGTAAGTAGATATTACTGGAAAACACTGGAATTTTCTGTTGCTTCACACACCTTACAGGAGAACTTTTTATTCCTCTCCTGTAGAGGGAAGTCCTTCAGCTCAAACCCAGGCTATGTACGTAACACCGTTTGTTTTTGGAAATAACAGCAGAATGGGGAATGGTCAAGATGATAAAAGTAAGGAGCGCGGTGGTGTGGCTGCAAAAGGAGCCATGGGATTTAGCTGCAGCGTAGAGTTTTACCTCTGGGGTCCAAACCAGAACTGACTGCTGTGCGATGGCTGATGCTCTCTAACACACCCCCACATTGCTGGTTTTCCCTTGGTGGTTTTTCATGGGACCTCCCATTCACAGCCCATTTCATGGACCAGGCAACTAAGCTTAAACCAGGCCAGGTACTTTCTGGAGCTTGGTGCTCCAGTCTCGTTAGTCATGGGTCAGCCCAAACTTGGTTTCATACCTTTCCATCTGTGGTCTGCACGGTCACTTTGCCACCACTGGTTTCTGTAATTTCAGCTTCAACGTAAGCTTTCTTGTCATCGGGAACCCAACATTTCTTCTTCCCTGTGAAATTAAGGAGAGTGAGGGTTTGCAGCCTTGAGTCAAACAGTGACATGGTGCCTAGCTAAGTGAAATTGCTGAGGTTACTTTTTCCGCACAAGCGTCACAAAACCTCTGGGATGGCAGCAGATGGGCAGTGCTGGAGAGCTGCCTGCCAAAGCAGAAGGCGTAGGGCTCCCAAATGTTGTCTCTCCTTTGAAACTACCACTTGGCTTCCTCTAGAGCCTTCCAGCACAAGGTGTCAAAATATTTCACAAATGCTGGCTGAGCCTCAGCCTCCACAGGAAATCCATAATCATTATCACCAGTGTGCAGATGGAGGAACTGAGATCCAAGCCCAAATTAAGGCGTTTGCTAAAAAGTCACACAGAAAATTGTGATCTGAGCGAGGAATTCAGCCCACATTAGTTGCCTGCCAGCTATCAGATTTAACCTTATTCCTGCAGGTTCTTCTGAAGTTTGTCTTGAAAAACAGCAATATTAATGCTCTCATTGAGTTATGTATGTGGATTTTAGAAGTTTGGAGCACTAGACTTTATGTCTTCAGTTTCAGCAACTATTCTGAATAGCGTGTTGCTGTGTTTATTGGTGTATTTCTACTTACTACTACACCTCAGGGCTCATGTAAATCTATTTAATGAAAAATAAATTATGGGAAACTAAAAGCTAGCATTAGATTGTCATACAGCCTGCAAATCAAACAGGTGCAGGTAACACATAAAAAGACATCTTGTCAGGCTGTTGAATCACTCATTGCAGGAACAACAATGCCTGGCATCCTAAATCTAGTTAAGTACTTACTTAATGTAAGTTGTTAGATTATTTCTTTTTATTACTACCTGAAGGCTTTTTATACCTTTGCAGAATAAAGAAACCAAAACTTGGTTGAACATACAGCAGCAGCATCAGTAGCAGAGCAGCAACAATGGATGCTTTGCATCCTGCTTTGCTCTGCATTCCCACAACTACACTGGGATGCAACTGTTTATCCCACTTAACCAACCACTGGCAGCGTAATGGGTACTGCAACTCACCATCGAAGGCCACAGTCTGTGCCATCATCAGCTCCTTCTCGCTCTTTCGGAGGAAGGGAGCAGCCTCCCCGAATTCCGTCATGTCCATCATCTTGGCAAGGGTTCAAGGTGGCACAGCTCAAAGAGGTAAAAGAAAGGGACCTGGTCTACCAAAGAAAGGGAGGGAGGGAAATTTGTATTTCTTCGATGATCCTGAGGCAATACAAAACACTCAGCACAATGTGGCAGGTGGCCGATCAAAGTGATGATTAATTTGAAAAGCAAATGCCTAACACATATTTGGGGCTATACTGCACCGCTAGTTAAACCCTTCCCTGGCTCAGCTTATAAAAAGCCAGCCAGATCCTGTGTGGTTCTAAACCTGTGGCATGGGTCACAGTTATCTCCAGCAGAGAATTTAATCTCTTCTTTGTGGCACGAATGGTGCTTAAGAGCAGGAGATAAAATGGACCACTTGAAGCCGTGATTTTAAAAACCACTTAGAAGGGGGCCTCTTCTGGTCCCTTTCAAATCAGCTTGGAGCCAGTGTATGCTCTTCAACACATCTCGCTGGGGCTATGTCACTTGGCCACTTCATGCATCATCTCAGGCAGGCGTTTTTTGGGAATCATGGAGCGAGACTTCACTGCTGTAAACTGAGAACTGCTGCAAGGTTGTGCATTGCACCCTTGGTGTGGCTCCAGGGATGTATGGCCATGCTCGTGCTGGAGCAATGCAGAGCTGGAGCTGGAAACAGCTCTCCTACCTGCAGCACACTCCTCTGATAGAGCGAATTAGCATGTTAGAAAATCTAGCACTACCATGGCTCGCGGAGGGTCTGTGCTGGTGCAGCTTCCCAAATTGCTGGTACCTCTAAATTCACTAGTTTGGGTATCCCCCTGCAGCAAGACATGGCAGAGGGCAAATGTATCTGCAGTACTGAGGCAAGGGCTTCATAGTTTTCTAGATTGATTTGAGCTTCTTAGTCCATCTTAATACCTACCCTTGTTTTCTCAAATGACAAAGCCATGGTGTTAAGGAGCCTTTTATTATGAAAGAAAGGGCAGGGAACATGGTTGTAAGTGAGACCCATTTGCTGGGTTTGCACTGTCAAGAAATTAATTTGATTGTTATGTAGTCTCTAAAGTGACTGTACAGATAGTTTTTCTTTTTTTTAATACACACATATATATTAATACTTAGACATATACACACATATGTAAAATACTCAGAGCGCTGTCCAGAAAGCATCTAAAAGATGTTCCACTGCTAAAAGGTGTATACACACACACACACACACACACACATGCGCGCGCGTGCACACAATTTAAGAATTTCAGATTTTTTTTCTTGAAAGTCAGGACACCATTTTATTACTATTTGAAGCTGTACAAGTGACCTTCAGATATTACCTCTTCCCTTATTTTATTTGCTGTGCAATATCCAGAGCAGCTGGATGAGTTTTCAAGAGCCCTATCAAGACAGACACTGTAGTCTTTCAAAATTTAATTCAATTTCTTTCTAACAAAATCCTGGTAGGGATAAAAACTCTTCATCAACCATGGCAGTTTTTTTTCAACACATTTCTCCTGGGGAGTGTAAAGCCCTAAGACAGCAGAACTGCCAAACGTTTTACATTCAGCCCTCTCCTGCTGCTGCAGTACAAGCTTGAGACCTTCTGTCTTCCTGCTATAGAGCAAAAACTTTCTTCTTCAGAACTAGCCTTAACTTTTTTCCTTTTTAAAGATTAAGGGCCTACATAAGCACATCTATCACCAATTATTTTAACATCATCTGAGCTGAGCAAAATCCTCAGGTGGAAGCACAACTCAAAACCAGCATGGCAGAGTCTCTCTCCCATGGGGACTGTGCCTTAGCTCTGGTGGAGCAATGAAGTTAGATCAGTTCATACATTTACACAGAACAGCAGTAGAGTGTGTAAGTGTCATTTCACATTAAATGTGCACATGCCAGAGGAGCCACTCTAGTGCTAATCTCTATGACTCAGGACAGATTCTCACAACTCCTGATATGCACTAAAGTACTCTAAACCACTTCTGTGCAACCTAGCTCCATTTGCAAACCTTTTAAGGACAGTCACTCAGCTATCACTTTCTTATCTCATTTTGGTGGTTTTTTTTTAATATACGTCAAGGCCAAGCACTATGGCAGCTGGGAGAGAATCCCTTTTTCTTCATCAGTCTCATGTGCTGGGAGTTACGACAAAGGTCAGAGCCTGGGCACCACACATCTTGAGGGTGCAGAGAAATCAGTGAGGCAAAACCATTGCCAGGTATGAGAAACTGGAAGTGTTGCTTGGTTTATGATCATAGGATTATTTTTAATAGGCAGTATAGCTGGGAAAGACAAAGCAGAGCTGAAGATGTTCACTTTCAGTCTGTTCTAGCAAACAACAAAAAGAGGCAGCTCTTGTATATGAACTTTGGGAGATCCTTGAAAACAACTACTCCCTGTAGAAAGCCAACGTTGTAACATAAAGTTAAGTGGCACGCCCAGGACCACCAAAAATATGGTCATGCATTCAGACTTGGAAAGGAGGGATCTCATCTTTCTTTGCTGGGGCTGTTGGAAGAGCTACCATAGTGCTGCCTAGCAACAGCAGTGATAGTAGGCATCACCCATCTTTGAAAGCAAACCCAGTCATTCTCCAAAGGCTGTAACCCAGGTTTGGTTAAAGAACTCCTTGGACCAGTGAACTTCTTAAAATTCACAAACTGCATAAGCCATCACCTCTTGAAGATGATAGAGAAGACATAAAATATGACTTGCAGGTACTGCCTAATCAGTCCACCCAGATGTGTAATTTCAAGGGACCGGACACTTTCCTAAGCAGTTATTCTAGCTGGCTAAATGAGCGCACTGGTGTTAGAGAAGAAGCATGTATTTGCTAGCATTCAAGCAGCACCCAAGGATGACTAACATAGTGCTACATGTTTAGTGATATTACTACTAAAACCTTAAGCCACATGAAAAACCTTAGTCACATCAAAACCACAGCACAGTGTTAGAGCACAGCTGGCTACCCGCATTTAGAAGTGAGAGAGTTTGGTACTCACCCTGGAGAGCACACAGAAAGTGTCACGGCGCTGCCTGGTCCAGACTTTATATGTCCCTATCTCAAGGTCACTGGTGATAACTGTTTAAAGGCATCAGCGGTTTTCCTCCATGCCTATATTTGTCCGCCAGATCCTGGGTGAGGAGACAATGCCCGAGGAGGGGACACGTGTGGCTGCGCCCCGGCGAAGCAGGGGGGGCAGGAATGTCAGTGGGGAGCTGAGTGCTCCTCGCCAGCCGCCCCATTCTTGCTCCATGACTTAATGGAAGAAGCTTTTCCTGCCTCTGTGTTTTCACAGGGGCAAGTATAGCTTTTCCAAGTGCCTCAGGACTTAATTACCATGGGCTTGGGGGGAAGGGTGGGGAAGGTAAAAATGAAGACTAATTCAGAGGTAACTCCCCTAGAAAATGAAAATCAAAGCTTTTTGCACAAAGGACAAGTGATTTTAAAAGGAATTTGGTTATGTGATTCAAACTGTCTTCCAGCAACAAAGCTAAGATGCAAGTTCTCATGTCCTAGTCAAGCACCTGAAGTCTCTTCCCTGGGCCCCAGAGGTTTAAAAGCCAAGCCTATAGGCTCAGGTTTGGGATACACAGGTATTCCCCAGTTCATGAACAAGGCAAGACAGTGAAGAAATTTAAAACTATATTGCATTCTGCCTAGAAAATTAATCATAGACATTGAACAAAGTAGGCATCAATTTTAGTGAGCGATTTGCTTTAGGAAACTCATTTATGAGACCGAGTTTAGGCAACGTCTGGCCTTTTCATTGTAAAGCCATTTTTCCTGTGAAACAAGCATCATGAGTAACTCAGGTCTCATTTCATTTCAACTCATAAATAGCAAAACAACTGCCATATCCAGATTGATTTGCTTTTACCAGCATGGGTAGACATATATGTTTCTTTTGGATCTAGCATAAAGTAAATATAAAATTACAAAGGAAAATAAATATTGTGGATAATGCTTTTTGTGCATAAGAAAGGACAATATATTAGGGCTTTAGAAAACTCAGTTCTGAGCAAGCAAGAGGAAGCAGGGAGGGAGCTTATCCACAGCTTCATCAAATTCTTAGATCCCCGCAGGAACAAGTGGTTTGGTTTGTGACCAGGCAAGAAGAAAAATGTTTGCGTGCTGAGCTGGCTATTTTTAAAGCTGTTGTCCTGATGCCTGGACAGTGACAGATTGCACAGGCAAAGTAGGTTTGTAAGAAAGGAAGGGATTTATGGAAGCGATAGACTCAAAGACGAGACGGGAGATTGATGTGGCAGGTCTGAGGATCTGAGTGCTTTAGTGACCTGGTATTTTTAGCATCTGGGGAATGCAACCCAGAGACAGAGAATCACCACTGCTTGACTAGTGGCATGCCCACCTCCAGACAGGCTTAAGTTGAGGAGAGAGCCCTCTGTTAAAGCTAGGGGTGAGGCTTTCAGTCCTGGATACATCTGTGAAAGGAACCCGTGCTGAGGCTGAAAACCAGCCGTGTGTGTCACACTGCAGCGCTCCTCTGGCTGTCCTCACTCCATTCCTTAAGCCAGAATCACTTCCCACCCCTCCCAGCCTGCTGCTTTATGGGTGATTGGTGCCCTGCAGCATGAACATATATTGATTTTGGCTCTAACTCATCACCTTTTTGTTTTATATGTGGTGAAAAAGAAAATAGAGCTGGTGATCCCTGCTGCTTAGGTGAACCGTGAGTGACTGTGTAAAGCTCAAGCAGATGCTCCTGATCATGTAATCTGAAACAAAGTAAACTGCATACATCACCAAGATTTATGGATGCTGTTAATCTTCTACAAAGACTGAGAATATGATTATTTCATGCCATGAGAGTATAACACACTGATACTTTCTCCCTCCTGCTCCTCTCTCATATCGCCAATTAGTTTTACTTCTAAAGTATGGTATTGCCATTACCACCTACTTTGCTTAGAAGAAGGCCTCTTTTTACAAATACACTGTTATCGCTTACATTTTTTCTGTTCTGCAAATATTCAGCTTTCATCAGTCCTGCAAGAACACTACAATCTCACTCC